AATGAAATGTTGGCGTCTCATAGGATAATGCGACTCACGATTAGTGTGAGGATACGCAGTTCCACCTTTAACAATTCTCTATCATATCCCGTGGCGGAACCAACGATTTTGATTAAGGAGACCGGACAAATATGATGAGACTTTTAAACGTGGTAAATATATAGGTAAGTATAAGTTTCAATAATTTTTTAAATATTTTTATATACCTAGTTAGTATTCATGACAAAAAAGTCATAAATATATTGCAATGAAAAATGGGTATGGCTTAATGTGCTATAAAGTGACCTGCCCATGCTGGCCCCTGGTTAGGACACTGGTCATATCACCATCTTCTTCAGAGTTACCCCTTTCTATCAGCATCGACTCCCAAGGGCCGAAGGGCGAGCCACCTACACCATTGGGCAAGTAGCTGCTTCTAGGCCCATCATTACGAGGACCAATCCATCTCTCGAATGGTCTGAATTCTGTGACCTAAGCCAGAGAAGTTGCAATTCCCTTCAGAATATGGTCCTGAATCCCCCCAACAAATTGGAAAAAATGCATACTATCATACAGCAGCTATCTATGAAAATTAAGATAATCACTTCGTGGAATCACCGGCATCGAAAGAGGGAGAGGGGAAGAGTTCAGAACCATTAAAATGTTTAGTATAAGAGAATGGGTGAGAATAAGCATACAAACGTTCCGTACATCATTCACGTAGTTGCATACAACAATGCATGTTGTCAGTCGTTGAATTTACCTTATTGGATCGAAATGATTGCTCAATTTGCCAAAGCTTCGGCCTCCGGATTGTATGCCACCTGCTTAGGACAAATCGTAGTAAAAAAAGTGAAAAGTCCCTTAGCTCTGTCATATAAAGTAATGCTGACGGTCTAATAAATACCTTGATGGCGTGACATGAGCATTTCCACAAAGAACTCCCCGTGCCGTACAGAAGCAGCAATGAGCTGTGCTATGTTTTCTGAGTAGTATGATGCGATTGGACTACCAGTAAGAAGACAATCCACCTCACTCAAATATGATACCACAGCCCATGCATCATCAACAGCTTCACTGTCAATGAAATCAATACCTGCAAAACAACAAATGCCAACTATTAGGTAAAATCCATTTAAATGATAGTGAACAAAATGAATCAGTAAAACATTTTTCAGCAAAAATGAATCAGCAAAAGCAACGGCCCTAAATTATAGATGAGATTTCAGTAGACCCAACAGATATGCTTGTTAACGCATTTTAGTGAAAGAGATATCCCATTTGCTACTTTTGACAAATGAAAGAACGGTAACAATCTCCAAGGTGAAAACATGTATGCAACATACATGGATCTACGCACTATTATTCAGTGCTCAAGCAAAAGATATATTTCTGCCCTTTCAACTACCAGCACTTCGTGTAGAATATATTCTGCACTTTCAACTAGCAGCACCGTTTTTTGCCTTTTGCTTTCAAACCTCCTTGTGCTTTCATAGTGGTCAATGCAGTTATGGAGGGGGGAGATTGAGAGACCAATTTGGTATGTGCCTTCATCACTTCGTGTGTGATGAATGATTCACATGTGTAAAGAGATTTAGTATTGCCTAGCTAAGCAAGAAAGTCCATAGCTGCAGTTACAAAATGCATCATATTATCATCAAGACATAATTGAAAGAGAGGACCAAATGCATATCATCGAATGCTATTGCCATGCATGCTAAGAAGCATCAGTCCCCAATTTCCGAATGCACAAATGTGCAGTGTCCCAAAGATATTTCTAGCATGCTTATCCGGGCAGCATAGCAGTAGAACAATAAGAAAGTTCTGTTGAATACCAATAAAAAGTGTGAAAGTTGACCCAAATTTTAGGAATGTCAGTTACAGCAAAAAAAAAACCTGGGAAACAACAATATGAGAAGCACTGGTTGTCTGGCCCACGCCAGCCGCTTCTGGCATTGTCATGACTACTGAAGCGGCAGGCTTGTCTCCACAGACCACAATCCACATAGAGGCAGGTCGAAAGAAGGGAAAGCTGTAGAGGCATATTTTCCCCATTCAGATAGGTACGTATAGCACAAGACACAAGAGGTAAGCAAAGGCATGACCGCATGAGGATGAAAAAGGAGACAATGTGGTCATGTGGAAGTGCTGAACCAAGCGGGTAGACAGAGTGAGCACCTTGTGAAGGGACTGGGAGGATCAGATGATGTAACGGTGGCATAGGGATGCGGCGGTAAACGAAAGGAGAACTAGAAAGGTACTGCTGGAACCTGAAGGGAGGACCGGTGGAGGCAAAGGCAAGAGGGTTGAGACCTTGAAGGGGCAGCAGGGAGAGGATCTGTGGTGCTGATACAAAACGTAACAGCCAATAGAATCAGAGGCGACATCAATGTCTCCTGCTTAATGAAAACGTGCCACGGCACGCGAAAAAAAGAGAGGCAACATCAATGTCAAAATAATATAGCTGACATGAGTCAAATACAGTGGGAATTAGAGGGGAGGGGGGATGTTGTTCCTGATCACTAACCTTTTCCTGGCGTTCTGAGCAAAGGCATGCCTGGCATCCGAGAGCACACGTAGGGCTGTTTAGTTCATCACCAGACAACTCTGCCTGGCGCTCTGAACACTCCCAGGCGTTCAATCCAGAGTGCTCCCAAGCGTTCGATTTCGAGTTGCCTGGGGCTCAAACAATTGCCCCCAAAACATTGTTTACTGCTATTGCATGAAATTCATAATTTCATAGACCCTCATTCAGATATCACATTAGTATAGAGAAAAAGAGTAGCTCTTGCACTGCACAAGCAAGCAAGCAAGCAATCTGATGCTGCTTCTGAATCGAAGACTATAGGCAATATTGGAATCGTGAAGAAAAGACACAACTATTATTGCTGTCTAATAAGTGTTGAAACTTTGAGAAAAAAAAAGGTAGCAGCTATATCTCGATAAACTCCTAAAATAAGAACCAAATATATTAAAAAACTTGTTTAGCTTCTTGGCAGCCATCCCCGACAGCATCAAGTCCCACTATGGTGCATTGGTGCCGCTGGCTGGTGGTGTGTCTTCGTGCTTCTCCTCCTGCTCTTGTTCCTCCTCTTCCTCGTCATCAGTGGCCTCGTATTCGGCATAGCCTTTGGCCTCCACCTCATGCCTCAGTTTGTCTTGGAGGGCGCTTATTCTGTCCAAAAAATGCCTGGTAAAGACATTACTTACCCTGGACTGTCTGCACCGTCTCCATCGGCACCAGCACCTTCTTCTTATTCTTCCTCTTTCCCAGTGTCTCCTTCCCCTCCTTTTTATTGCCCTCTTCATCTTCGTCACTGCTTAGGCACTCGGACTCGTCTTCATCGGGGATTGGTCTTCTGGCGCAGAGTTCATCCAGATCCACCCTTGCTTTCTGCAGCTCCTCATCGGAACAGAGCCTCGACGACGAGCTAGCCATCGCCTCGTCGGCCGATCGATAAGTCGACTTCGGATCTCCTCCCTCGCGATTCGATCTCGCAGCACCGTGCAATTCGATTTAACGGATTGGCTCAGCGAAAATCAGGATCCCGTGGACGCGTACATATATACTAGCTCCTCCCTGTTCGTTCTCAGAGATCGATTCCGAGTTTCCGACAGACCAGACCAGGACACGAAAAAATCGCACCAACACCGCCTCGGACTGGACTTACTCTGCACCGTGACTATCCCCATTGTACGTTCAGAAAAATCCTAATCCCCACGAGGCAAACTAATGTGGGCATGTGGCTGCATCAGCTAACTTCAGTTCGCCTAGTCTATACTCTACTATACGGGCTTGGTTGTGGACATCAGCCTGCAGGCCCAATACAGTATTAAAGTATGCCAAATTTAGATTTACACAAGCCGATGAGGCACACAATAATGAAATATTCTCACCTCCACTACCTCTACTAGAAATAGGAGACCTCAACTAGAACTTGGAGGTGGCTACATCCAAGACAATTGTAAGCAAACAAGCATAATCACCAAACACAGCTTGGCTGTGCAGGACAACCAACCACATTGCATATATATGTTTATTTACTACATTGGATTGTAACCAATCACACCATACAACATTGATATAGCTGCACCTAAATCCCAGCTCAATCACACTGTGAGAACAGATAAGGTTAGCAGTAGAGCGAAACCATCAGTTGATGCAGGAACATCCCATTCTGAATTTTAACAGTCCATTTCACATTCCGAAGCACCAGATAGTGTGACAGACGATTGACAGTTAATACGATTGCCTATCGTGTTCTCGGATTCTCAAAACGTTCGTCATGTCAGTGTCGCGAAGGCACACCTGAATGACCGACTATGAGGACGCGCACTTGGCCGAAGGGACCGACGCCGTTCTGATCCCAGCCGCTGCTGCTCCGGTTGCCGCTATCCTTCCAAAACATCCCCTCCGCGCCTCCGCCGCTCGTACCGACGGCGCAGACAAAAAGCCCCGGTGGTTAGGCCTCCGGATCAGGCGACGGCTAGGCGAGTGCGAGTCAGCGTGCGGCACGACATGAAAGCACGACCGTGTTCCTTTTTTTTTAGCGGGGGATAGAAGAACATATACGAAGATGGGCCAAAAAAAAAGGCACACGCACATTAGCAAGAGTGCAAGGGATCATCGAAGACTTTGTAGGCCAGTAATCGTTGTACATATGAACATGACAAAATCAGCAAGTCCAAATGAACATTCATTGGCATCCGCCCTAACATTTAACGATAAACAATGCTACTGCATCATTGCCTGCTCACTCTTCGTTTTTTTTTCTGAAAAGTTAAACTGCTCACTCTTCGTTAGTGATAGTGAGCAACCCAAAAAAAGAACCTAGCTTCTGAGATGTGAAGACACTGATTTGTTGTTGCCTTTTCGAGCTCTGATATAAGTGCAACAATGAGCCTCACAAAACTTAGATATCAATGGCACCTTTAAACAGCGAGCCACTATTTGAATCAGCTAGGCAACATCCATAATGAAATGTTGGCATCCCATTAGTGTGAGGATGCGCGGTTCCACTTTAACAATCTTCTATCATATCGTCCTCTTCAGAGTTATTTCCATCAGCGACTCCCAAGGCCAAGCCACCTACGCCATGGGGCAAGCAGCTGTTTCTATGCCCATCATTACGAGGGCCAATCCATCTCTCGAATGGTCTGAATTCTGTGACCAAGTCAGAGTAGTTGGAAAAACCACACGTCCTTGAAGAATCAAATCTTTCCTTCAGAATGTGGTCCTGCATTTTCCCCCAAATTGAAAAAAAAGGCATACTATCATACACCAGCTAGTAATGAAAATTAAGATAATCACTTCGGTGGGAATGACTGGCATCTAAAGAGATTGTTATGAACTTCCATCCACACAACTTATAATGTACTAAAAAGCATGCTAAAACAAGCATGGAGCGAAGAATTTAAGAACGGATTGACTTCAGAAGGCACAAAAAAAAGAGTTTCGGGAACCATGGAAATGTTAGTATGATATAAGAAAATGGGTAAGGATAAGCATACAAACTTTCCGTACATCATTCAGGTACTTGCGTAAAACATGCATATTGTCACCTATTGAATTTACCTTATTGGATCGAAATGATTGCACAATTTGCCAAAGCTTCGGGCTCCGGATTGTATGCCACCTGCTTAGGACAAATCATAGTAAATAAAAAAAACAAAAAGTCCCTTAGGCTCTGCCATATAAAATAATGCTGACGATCTAAATACCTTGATGGTGTGCCATGAGCATTTCCAAAAAGAACTCCCCGTGCCGCAACAGAAGCAGCAATGAGTTGTGCTATGTTTTCTGAGTTGTATGATGCGATTGGACTAGCAGTAAGAAGACAATCCGCATCACTCAAATATGATACCACAGCCCATGCATCATCAACAGCTTCATTGTCAATGAAATCAATAACTGCAAAACACCAAATGCCAACTATTAGGGTAAATCTATTTAAATGATGAGAGAGAACAAAATGTATCAGTAAAAAAAATTAAGCGAAAATGAATCAGCAAAAACAACGGCACAAAATTACAAAATGGGGTCTTCAGTGGACCCAAGATATATGCTTATTAACGCATTTTAGTGAAAGTAAATATCATATTGCTACTTCTGATAAATAAAAGGATGTTAACAACCTCCAAGGTGAAGACACGTATGCAGCATATAACAGTAGTTCGTTAGACTCTGGATCTATGTAATATTATTCTGTGCTCAATTAAAAGATAATATATTTCTGCCCTTTCAACTACCAGCACTGTTATTCGTGTAGCATATATTCTGCTCTTTCGATTACCAGCAATGTTATTCATGTAGAAATGAATATGGAATTTTCTTATACTTCGTTAGTATGATCAAATGGCGTGTACAATAAATTTCGAATGTTATACAATGGTCATACTGCATTAAATAAGCCAAAATTAATGTGAATGCCTGATTAAAGCAGTAAATTTCAAATGTTCCACTTCATCTGCAGTACTGTTGGAAAGGCAAGAAATAATGTTTCACACATTGGCATAGACTCAACTGATAACACCAGCAGACTTAAGGAAAACATAACAATGCTGCACCATTCTACTTCAAGTACCTTCAACACTCGTAAAAGAACAAGATAAAACTTGAGAGAGGGAAACACAGCATACGCTATGAGGTATTCTGTACACCTTGATAGATAGTTACTTACCATTTTCATAAAGAAAATCCGCAACTGTCTGTACTTTTCCGTGTGCTTGTGAAAGAATCTTTTCTGGAACATCCATTTGGAGTGAATTTCTTCTTAGGTTTTCTTTAAGAGGAAATGGATCCAGGTCTACAGATGAAATATTAAAAATTTCAGGGAGCAAAAAGAAAATTAAACACAAATGAGGAACACATTATGAAACACAGTATGGAAACCATCGACCCAATAATGAACTAGTCAGTTCAAACTGAAGGCATACCATATAGTTGTAGCGTTGTGTAACAACATGTCAGTAATTGAAAATACAGAAGTTTAAGAGCTTGGATATGTAGGAGCAAATACTAGACGATGAATTAATGCAAAATAATTTAATAAATAAAACACTAATTCCAACCCTGTAAAGTGCAAAAAATACTCTGAAATTAAAGTGAATTGTTGGATTATTGAATGTGGATATTATAGTTAAAGAAATCCAATGCAAATCCTAAGAGGGACAGAAGTGCCCAAGGCACCATCTGATTGCAGAGATTTCTCCTGAGTCTTGTGAGAATTGAACTATTTCTCATGAAATTCCTGCATTCTAAGCAGGCTCTAATGGAGAATCTACGTGTTCAAATTAGATCCTGTGAACTGAAAAGGATGCACAGCCATTGCCTAATAAACAATTCAGAACGAAGAAAATAAAAACTAGTGTGCAAAAATGTGCTAACAGTTCAAGTAGATTTCAATGGACAAACAAATCAATAGAAAAAATGCTAGAATATATTTATGTGAAAAAAATACCCTTGGTATTTAATTTTTTTCAAGGAAATAGTACATAGTTCTATCACAATATGAAGACACAAATATTTTCTTGGGAATTAAAGAACTTTGTGAAGTCAGCTTTTTGATAGGGCAAGATAGTTCTTACATACCGGTACCAACATCACTATTAGTTTCCCTCTTGTTGTGCAAAAATTTCCCCAAGGCATGAAATAGTGAAAGTGTCTCATCCCTTCCACATGGGGAGGGTAGTGCACTGCTAGGGCCATAGCTCTCATGCCCTGGAACCAGAGAATCATGGCTCTTTGAACCAGTACGATTAGAACTTGTTGCCAATGCAGAACTATGCCTTCTGGGATCAAGACAATAGTATTGAAGAGACATTATTGCATGTCTGATATCACCTCCACTAGAGGTTGCCATTTGATGCAATAATTCTTCAGATGCATTACAGCTTTCTTTTTTGCAAATTCGAACAAGGATTTTCTTGATAGAATTTGTGGTTACCGGATTGAAAGCAATCTGCAAGAAAATGTGCTGCACTATGAGAAAAGGCAGTCTTAAAAACTTAATTAGTGGTCATCATCAAATCTGTCAAACATTTGATCGTATACCTTGTGAGCACCAGCATCTTGAAGTAAGGACTCAAGGTCCTCAGACTTCCACATTGCAGTATCGTTATTCTCACTTTTGTGATAGTGAGTGAGTGAAATGACAGTTGGTACTTGAGTACTTCGAATTAAACCAGTTAAGCATTTTCCTAGTCTTGCAAAAGCAACACTTCCACTTGTTACAGGGATGTCATCAATCAAAATGATAATGAGCTTCCTTTGGGACTTGGTATTGGTTGGACAAAGCATTGAATACTTCCTTATCTTCTCCACAAAGGTTTCAAATTCTTCAAGCTTGGATATATAGTGTAATCCTTGAAACAACCATTGAAGAAAACTATATAAATTATTTGTAACTGAAAAAACTGGAATGCTTTGACAATGTGCTTCTATGGACGTGAGTACGATAGAAGTATGTGGATGTAGACTCTGCATCGGTTCTTTCAATTGCAACAAATAAGAGTTAGAAAGCATAGTTAGACAACAACACATACTAACCGCTACCTGAATTAGCATGAACATGTTCAGCCCACAGTGTTGGTACTGGAGTTGTCCACTCACATAAGTCCGCTCCAAGGTCATCAGCGATTGCTTTCACAGTTGCCTGGGAGAAATTATCATTACTAGCAAGTACAGTTCCAGAGCAACAGAATCAAGTTATCCACTATGGATAGCATAGTGATTTTTCTATCTCTACGTTCACCTATGTATTCTGAAGGAACAAGAACTAATACCCAAAAATAAAAAATGCCCCCAACCCCTCCAGAAGAAAGATTGAAGGAACAAAATCAAAGAAAGAAATGAATTAAACTGTGTGATACTATAAGCAGGATATTATCAGAAATTGAGTGGTGTCATTGTTTCTTTGTCTTGTGTGTGTGTGTTGGGGGAGGGAGGGGGGAGCATCCACATGATCAGATTCTTAACTACGGAAAAATGAAAACTTTAGAGCTGTCAACCTGTTATGGCGAGCAGTGGTTCATGATGCACCAAATCACATCCAGCAAACTAGGGATTGAACAGGTCTACTGAACAAACTAACAGCTGGACTTAATCAAATTGAGCCCAAACTCGCTTCCATCATTTGGGTACAAAATTTTCAAAGTGCGAGGGAAGGACGTACTGATTTTCCAACACCAGTTTGCCCAGTTAGGACAAGGGTCCATCCTCCAACCGTTGTCTGCAAAATTGCCTTTGCACTATTAGTATTCCTCTATCCTCAAAAATTGAAATATATAAAAATTATAAATGGAAAAGGTAACTGACTAGAGTAGATATTTGGTCATTTTGAATCTTCTACAACTACAACAGTAATAAAAATCACAAAATAATAATGCAGTTCAAAATTTACACAAGTTTTATCAATGCAGACAACTCCTGTCAGGCAGTCACTATGGGAAAGCTCAAGGATTGTGCTTGATTCCTAACAATTCAAACATTCACATATCAAGGAAAAGAGTTCCTGATTATTCATGTGCTTTTCTGAGATACTCTAGCATGAGGTGATGCCTGATTGCAACATTATTATTACAATCCAGATGCTGGTTGAATTGTACTGCCAGGACAGGCATACACAAAAAAATATATATATCAAAGTTCTTCACGGGGTCAAGTCCCCATCCCATTTTGAACCATCACATAACCAGAAAGGGAAAACCACAAAAAAAAATAGTTCCATCTGGTTTGCAGCAATGAATATTCTGACAACCTAACAATTCTGATTATACACTTATTCACATGATCTCGCTGAATATGTGTATTAGCCAAATTGGTTGGACTATATTCCACTAATTAACTATAACTCACAATTGAATTTGTTTCAATTCAAAATAATCACCTTTGGTGCCTTCAGCTTCTCTTCCAACCATTTTTTTACATCTTCAATCTACAAGAATAAGACTGTGTGACATATCATGTAAGTGCATTCATATTCATTGCTCATGCATGGTGACAAATTATGAAGAAACTGAAACAATAAATCAACACCCTGATATATTGACATTTTAAAAAATATGGATGAAGAGGATACATAAAGTAGGCAATACAATAGATTGAGTATATCCTATCAAAGGATGAGCTAAGTTAAAGGTTAATAAAGGTATACAGCATAACATGTGTTGTGAGTATGTAACAAAAAGAACCGACCTTCTTTTTATGAACAGCAAGCTCAGCCAATGAGTGGGGTGTGTACTTGTCAACCCAAAGCTCTTTCGTTTTCCGTATAAACCCTGCCTAGAAGTAGGCTAATCAGAGAGGAAAGTGAAATGGTGAAACTTCACATTCACAAGGGTCTGTGACCACCACAAAATCAAATCAGGAAAGAAAGAAGAGATTGGCCAAGACAAAGGTTCCACGTGAAGACAGGAAATTGCAGGTTCATCTAAAAGCAAAAGCAAAAGCAAAAGCAAAAAAAAAAAAGGAAAAAAGTGAGGCTATATGTTGATCTTGATATTTTACTTTGCCATGAGCGACAAAAATATCCCTCTGAAGTCTGAACTGTATTTTTTCCATACAGTTAATGATCTATCAATGTATCAGTAGTGCACCTTTGTATCGAAATCTTCTAATATCCAATACATTCAGCCAACTTGTATGTCTTAAATATTCATTCCATGAGAAGATTCCCTTGATAAGGATGAAAGGCTTAGCATGACAACTAGTTTGTTAAAGGTGTGCTGTGTCCTCCTAAATTGCTGGTGCTAGTGGTTACCACCTGTTCTCAATTTTTATGGCAAATTTAAATAGAAAATGATGTGGCTATCTAAGAAGCTTTCACAAGGTACACAAAAAAAAACAGCAGGAATGGGGGTGAAGGAGATGTAGTTATTCAGCATACGTTGACACTATTTGTTATTATGTTTTCTGGGGCAGTTCACCTTGCTAATTTATCCTAAAACTTGTTTAGGTCGTGTAAATCTAGGAATCATACTTCCATCCTTGAAAACTTTCATAATGGCATCATCTAGAGCTGATTCAACTTCAAATTTAACAGTTAGTACCAATCCAAACAAAGCAACATAGGTTACTAAACGCCATCACCTACAAGAATACTTAAGCAAACTATCTATCCTGTAGCAATCGTGAGCCGTATTATGCCTTTGTATTGTCATGATACTATATTGACTAGATACGATAGGTAGGGTAGTTCTTGAGCTAAGCTCGCTGCCAGCCACTGAACATCGCCAGACAACACAGTTCAGTTCAGAGCTTTAGTACAGGTTCAGCTCACATAGCAAACAGAACTCTCTCTCACCAATGCTGAGATTAACAGGCACTCATTCTGAGCCTTGGTACCACGGTTGGGCTGCAGTCGCAGTGCGCGAGGCCCAGCTGCTTCTCAAACTGAAAGCGCCAATAGGGAAAAAGATTCAGGAGTTTTCTCCTGATCTTGAGACAGCAGTAATTCCCTTGCCTGATGTTGCCACAGGTTGACTGGCTTGTCTCTGAAATGAATAACCGCAGCAGTATAGTGCTAACTTCAGTGCGAAGATCAACATAGGTATTGGGCATCCTTTTTTGTTCCATGTCTCATAGTCTACTTTGCATGGTTTCCCAACAGTATTTAGGATTTAACCATGCAATACCATGTGAGCATGGTGACTCGGTCATTGGAGTACCGTTATACAATGTTTCCAGACCAGTACAAACAAAGAGACAACTCAGAGCTGCTATCGAACAGCAACCAACTCAAGTAGCAATACATGCCATGTACATTGGATGCTTACAGTATGTCCTGTTTGGGAGCTTTATCAAAAGAAAACTCTATGTTCATAATTTTTTGTCTAGTTATATGGAATTCAGAATACAATCTAAAGAAATATACAGTTATACAAGAAAAGAGATGAAAAATAAATATACCTGGCATGCTGAAGTCATTAAAACATTCTGAAAAATCTTCAGAGAGCATGTCAAATTCAGCCTTTTCAGATAAGAGAAAAAATATCAGTAATCAATTAAACAAAAGGATCAGCTCAAGTTAGAAAAGATTGAACGCTAACAGACAAAGAAAATCATATAGCACTAAGAACAAGTTGAACGCTAACAGACAAAGAAAAATCATATAGCACTAAGAACAAGTTAAGACAGGAAATCCATCTATATTGTTTTATCCCTGTTTGTGCCAAACTAGCTGTTCATTTTCAGTTGCTGGCGAGCTGGAATCAGCTTGTGAGTTAATCATCAACATTTATTATAGTGAGAATTTGGTTCAGAAGCTAAAAGATCTCAAAATATAACCATTGTTCCATTTGCGATTTAGATGAAAATGAAATGAGTAATGAGGAGCAAATCTAAGTAGATACATGTATATAGAATCAATGTTTTCCATATTGACTTACATCAGCCTTCGAGCTAAAATGCTAAAGGACATGTCTCAGGATGGGGCAGCCTAGATTAACCAATCAAATATGCATCATATGAAACTGACCAGGAATTCATAGGCTCGACTGTGATAATAAAACTTGAAACTTATGTGTTCAGCATCCAATTTTAGTGGTAAAAGATGAGACTATTAAAATGGACTAATAGCGAACGAAATATCGTGCTAACTAGGCACGTAACAACAAAATCGCCCAACCAAAATCAGTTCGAGTCTATCACCTTCGAGGAGTCGGACGGCGCGAGTTTAGAGGGGCGGCGACGTCCTCTCCCCGCGCTGCTCTCGCGGCGCTGCTTTTTCCTCGAGGCGCCTGCTGCCTGAGCCTGCACCTGGGCCGGAGCCGTCGCGGCCGTCCTCGGCTTCCGCGCCCGAGGGCCGCGGCGCCCCCCGCCGTCATCTTCCCCAGAGGAAGAGGACAGAACAACTACCTGTGGTCGCTTCCCCATTGGTGGAATGGATTGGTGGAATGGTGGCGGCGGGCATAGCAATTTCAAGGGCAAGGGCTAGAGATCGGAAATCTGCACGACGAGCGAGATTGTGGGGGTTTGTTTTCCTCCTCCGCGCTTGGGGTGGGAGGGGTTTGGCAGGGTATAGTCGGGGAGGGAAACCAGAGAGAGAGAGGGAGAGAGCGGCGCGCCGGCGCCTTCCAGGAGAAGGAAGTGAATTCCTCCTCCAGTGACAAGGAGGTCCGGATCCTCTGCGGCCGTCCACGTGAATATTCGCACACTCCTCAGTTCTGTGTTTCGGACATTTTGACTTTAGGTCCTTATTAATCATTTGTTTGTATCATTATATGGAGTATATAGGAGTAGCTTTTTATGATACAGCTATACTTTCATAGTTTTGAAAAGGATTTTCAAAGGCAGTTTTAGTCTTATATACATACTGTATACTAGTTTTGCACAGAATTTTTTGATAGCTTTTGTATGGTTAAATAAACTTTTTAGGGCTCAATCGGGCGGTTCATACTACAGATTAAGAGAAATGGGAATATTGGTCTTACCATAGTTATAGTTACTTAGAGCGTCTGCAATAATTCTTACATATATAAATCGAGGAGTTTTTCAAGTTGCTAAAAGAAGTTAGTTTATGAAAATTGTAATGATATTTTTTCCGTTTACATAGACGGTATCACGGTACAACAATACTTTCATAGTTTCATGAATAGGTTTTCCAAATACAAATTTAGTCATTATTTGTTGATTTTGCATAGAAGATTTTAATAATTTCTTACATGGTTAAACTTTTGAAGCCTCAATCACATTGTTCATATGATAGATTAAGAGAAAGAGAAAATTGTTCTACAATAGATATAAGGATGTGTCCGATTGGATAAGAGGTGCATAGAATACCTCACTTTGTTCTGGTACTTGGTTTAGGGATGAGGAAAAGAGGCGTCCCCATAGCATAATATTCATCTAGATTAAGAGACTCAGTCACCCCCCATAAAGTGAGGCACACGCTCGTCCCTTGACAACACTGGCTACACGTCTTCCCCTTCCTTTTCACATGTGCAAGGGTGCCGGTAGGGAAGTTCGACTACAACATTGAACTCGGCTCGAATGCGAGCGAGTGACCTCGCCCCCAGTGTGGGTGGCCATGGCTAGGGCGAGCGAGGTGGGTGATGACGGACTAGACGAGGGCAGGGGTCAATGGCGGGTGGGGCAGCACCGGGGCCGATGTGGCGAAGATGAAGACGGGCTAGACAGTCGAGGCTGGAGGGGAATGGTCAACCGTGTGGAAGAAAAAGGTGTGAGAGAGGATGACATGTGGTGCCACTAAATGAATGTCTAAGGAATCAAATATGATGATGTATCCTCTTCATCCTCATTCCTCCAACAAAAGACGGAGTGAAAATGCATTTGCCCCCCAATGTGGGTTTTAGTGTATTGATGACATCCAAATTAGGGACTAATGTGATCTTAATGAGATATATCGCAGCTATTAGTCCCGTGAAAGAATCAAAGAGTTGGTAAAGATAAAATGATATCCCTCAATTTTTGAAGTTGTAAAGGTGGACGAACTCAAAGCTCTCTCCAAAGGTTTTATTTTTGTTTTTGAGTTTATAATCCGCCGCACTATAAAGAGGGATGAAATTTTAGTTGGTATGAGGAAGATAGAGTGCTCAAGCATAGTAATTAAATCAAAAGAGAGACACTCTAGCACTTCACGAGCACATAGAATTATTTTCTGTGACTGTTGGTGTCGGAAGTCCCGACGTAAGCCGGAACTCCCGACAGTCGGAAGTCATGACTCTTGCCGGAAGTGCTGACTCCCACTCACTTAGCCTGTGCGGTGACTGTGGACGTCGGAAGTCCCGACCCAAGCCGGGAGTCCTAGCATCGATGGTTCTGCTGGCCTGCTGTCTATGCACGTCGGAACTCCCGACGTACGTCGGAAGTTCCGACCGTAGGAAGTCCTGACCCATGTCGGGAGTCCCGATACCCGTTGCGGGCTGGCTGGATGTTTAACTGCGCTCGTCGAAAGTCCCGACATTCGTTGGAAGTTCCGACCATCGGAAGTCCTAACGTTTGACGAGAGTTCTGACACTGACCTGCACGCGCGGACTTCCAGCCCTTTGTGAACAGTGTTTTCTGTTAACGTCGGAGTTCCGAGATCTGCGTCGGAACTTCCGATGTAGATCTGAACGGTTAGATTTTCACTTGGAGTATAAATACCCCTCTCTTCACTTCTAACCGTTACGGACTCATTCTCAGCTGACCCACTTCGTGCTCAACAGCTCCCAAGCAACTAAAGCTATCCTCTCCTTCCCTCTTTGCTCTAATCTTCGATTCCCTTAGGGTTTTGAGTGAAAGGAGAGTGGATTAAGTGAGAGCATCACTTTAGAAAGCATGAGCACTTGATTTCTCCATCAAGCCGGTTGATTTTGCGTCTATTACTCTTGGGGCTTTGCCCCTAGCCGGCTAGGCGTTGCCCAAGAGCTTCCATCTTGTGGAAGAGCCTTGGAAAATTTGTATCACCCTTCGATTTCTTAGTGGAAAGCTCAAGTGACCTTTGTGGTCGCTTTGAGAGAGGCAAGGAGGTGGAATAGACTCCGACCTAGGTGGTCACCTCAACAACGAGGACGTAGAAGCTTCTTTGCGGGGTTGCCAAACATTGGGATAAATTCTTGTGTCCTGCATGCTTGTTGTTGTTATTGTGATTGATTGAGATTACTTGTATGTGTTTGTCTCTTTGTCTTCCAAATCTCCATTTTAGGGCTTGGATTTGATCTACGATTTGGAGGCATTACAACGTCAAGGAAGTGACCCAACATCTTCACCAAACCACTAGGAAGTGAGGTTATAAGATTATTCATCTGCAAAGTTAAATTTGGCACTGCTTTTGTAGTTCACGTAGGCGTCGGAACTGCTAACGTTTGCGCCGGAACTTCTGACAACGTCGGGAGTTTCGACCCAAACGTCGGGACTTCCGACAGTGACTGACAGATTTGAACTTAGCATTTGCAGTAAATTTTTAGATATGTCTATTCACCCCTCATCTAGGTATTGTTAGATCATTTCAATTGGTATCAGAGCAAGGTCTTCTCTTTGCGCTTCACCGCGTGAGAAGAAACAATGTCGGAGTCCGACAAGATGCAAGTCGTTGTCGTCGAAATGGCCAAGAAAATAGCTGAAGAGTTGATGAGTGCTCAAGCCAAGCTCTTTCAAGATGAAATAAAAAAGATGCAAGATGAGATGAGCAAGTTGAAGGAAGAATTGAGCAAGAAGGTTGATGATGCAATAAGTGGCAAGAATGATACTAGTGACAAGAATGAAGCAAACAAAGATGCCGCTAGTGATATTGGAGCCGGTGAGTAAGCTCATAGAAAAGGAATATATTCAAACATGAGTTTTGACTATGGACAACTCATGAAAGGTTCAACACTACATACTCCGTCCATCAACATTGACAAGCCACCTCACTTAGATGGAACAAGATACACCGATTGGTCTTACAAGATGAAGATGCATCTAATTGCTGCAAGACTTTGAGAAGTTGTGGATGTTGGTGTGATGATTCCTACCGATGAAGATAGAGAGATAACTCTAGAAGAAGTGCACAACCTCCATCAAAATACACAAGCCGTAGCTTTGCTTATGTCAAGCCTAGCTCCGGATGAGTTTAGAAAAGTGAATAGAATGGAAAGTGCAAAACAAATTTGGGATACTTTGAAAGTATCATTTGAAGGAGATAAAAGTGTGAGAAAAGGCAATATAGAGTTACTTCATGGTGAATTGGAAAGATTTGTTTTCTTACAAAATGAAACAACACAATCCATGTTTGATAGGCTCATGGCATTAGTCAACCGCATAAGAGCTCTTGGAAGCACCGAATGGGATGACAACAAGGTTGCTAGAAAGATGTTGAGAACCTATAGAGCCAAGAACAGTATGCTAGCATCCGTGATCATAGAAAGGCCCGGTTATGATGAGCTGACACCTCAAGAAGTTCTTTCAAAGCTCAAGCATCATGAGTGTCTAGATGAAGATATAATCAAAATCCTAATGCAATGGGATTCAACAAGAGTGCAGCCCTTAAAGCAACTCAACAACATGAAAGTCAAGAAAAGAAGAAGAGAGTAAAGGATGATTCCTCAAGTGGAGAAGAAGATTTCGATGCGGAGGTTGTATTTGTGATTAAAAATCTTAGAAAGTTTATGAAGAAGAAAAGCAACCGCAAGACCTATGGTGATGGTAAGAGAAGGTTCAAAAAGAGATTTTGCTATGGATATGATCAAATCGGTCACTTCATAGCCGATTGTCCTAATGGGAAAAAGAAGCACAAGCATGACAAGGATGAAGACAAGAAGAACAGAGGCAAGAAGAGAGGTGAAGCTCATCTTGGGAAAGAATGGGAGTCAAGTGATAGTAACTCAAGTGATGATGAGAAGAAGAAGAAGGGAGCCACAAACATCGCCATCCACCACTCTTCTTCACCAACCATGATCTTCCCCGACTCAACTTTACCACCAAAACTCTTCTCCAACCTATTTTCACCACCGAGGCTCTTCTCCAACCTCATCGATAACGACTACTACACCCCAACTTATCTCATGGCAAAAGGGGAGAAGGTACATACTACACCCGTTTCCTCTAGTGATGAGTATGATAGTTGTGATGATAACATAGAAAAAAATTGAAGCAACCATGATAAAGAAATTTGGTAAAAATGCCTTCACTAAAATAAAAATGCTAATGAAGAAATTAGAGAAGAGGGATAGATGCTTAGAGTTACAAGAAGATATAATTACTCAAGAGAGAGAAAAACCCTGCACTTGAAGCATCTATCGCCGAGGAAAAGATGAAGGTTGAGAAGTTAACCGTTGAATTGTCTTTGGCCAATGACTCAATTGGGAAATTGACTAAGGAACATTCCTCGATTAAAGATCAAATAGCTAGCCTCAAGAATGAGAAGAGTATAGCTCAAGAAAGCCTCACAAGCT